AGCGACCCTCCAATTACGCAAAAAAAGCCCTCAATTACGCAGAACGGTAACACTGCTACTGACAAGGGGAGGCTACCGATTGTCCCCCTCAAATCGGGTTCAAATTTGGCAGAGAGGTAGAGTAGGTTAATATAAGAAACCGTATTTCTTTTTGGGTGCCAATGCCCAGCCTTTTTTGAGTTATGAATTTTTGTAGTTGCCGTTTTTGCGTGTCAGCGACGCGCTCAAGTTGAGCCTACTGTGCGCGCACCTTTTAAAGTGAACCGAGGCCATGCGGTAGCGTGCTCGCTCACGGCGCCGGGGGTCCGGAGTTCGATTCTTGATCGGAAGCTCTGATTTTTACCATTGATTATGTTGTTTTTTCATCGTTTCAACACATAAAATTATAAATTACCTTGTAAACGTTATGATTCTAATTATTTTTTAGGTATTTTTTAATATTTTTTTTAATGATTTCTTGAGAAAAAAGGGGGAAAAATATATTATTCACATCCTAGCTTTTACAAAGTGACTTACAATTTGTTGTGATGAAGCGATTAAAAAACAAAATAATCCATTGTAAAAATTAATTTTCGGATCAAGAATCGAACTCCGGACCCCTTGCGCCGTGAGCGAGCACGCTACCGCTTGGCCGGTGGACATATTTGACGTTCGTGAATCTCGGATCACATTAAAAGGTGCGCGCACAGTAGGCTCAACTTGAGCGCGTCGCTGACACGCAAAAACGGCAACTTCAAAAATTCATAACTCAAAAACGGCTGGGCATTGGCACCTAAAAAAAATACGGTTTCTTATATTAACCTATTCTACCTCTCTGCCAAATTTGAATCCGATCTGAGGGGGACAATCGGTAGCCTCCCCTTGTGAGAGTCAAGACAATGTGAATCCATTTCTGATTGGTTCCCGTATTTTAGGCCTTCACAGTGTCACAAACGGGAATAAAGATTACAGTTTCACCGATTGCAAAGATTATAATCTGGAATGGACTAGAGTCCCTTTATGCTGAGAGTCAAGACAATTCGGCTCATGGATGTCACAAACGGGAATAAAGATTACAGAAATTGAACGTTTTTCGTAATCTTTGATCGGCCCATTCTCAAATGCCTTTCTCCGTTCCTCCTCTCATTCCGTTTGTTCCTTGCCAAACTCGTAATTCCCTGGTCCATTCCAGATTATAATCTTTGCAATTGGTGAAAATGTAATCTTTATTCCCGTTTGTGACACTGTGGAGGCCTAAAATACGGGAACCAATCAGAAATGGATTCAAATTGTCTTGACTCTCAGTATAAAGGGACTCTAGAATGGACCGGAGAATTACGGGTTCGGCAAGGAACAAACGGAATGAGGGAAGGAACGAAAAAAGGAATTCGAGAATGGGCCGATCAAAGATTACGAAAAACGTTCAATTTCTGTAATCTTTATTCCCGTTTTTGACTATCAGGTGCTATCAAGTCGTCAGTCGGAACCATGTCGGAACGATTCCTTGTTTAGTAGCACTAGAAGGATTTTTCCCCCTTTTTTCTTTTTATTTGGTTTATCTGGGAAGTTAGTTAAATTAGACCCATCGATCTTTCCCTTTCTCATTTTAATAGATTTTTCTCAGTCTTTTTGCATCGCTTTAGCGAAGGGGCAGCCTCTATAGCTAGCCGGGTGACCTGTTACCCCACAATTTGCACACTTAGGGTTGATAATGCGCTTCGCCCAAGGGCATTCTGCATAATGTTCAGCTGCGCACTTTACACAACGTGCTTGCTTACCACAATATGCTTGGGAATGTCCAAAATTCTGACGTTTTCGACACTGTATTATCTCAGTAGTACGAACTTTAGAGGGTTCTACTTTTACAACCATAGAACAGATACCAACAATCTTATCGATTTTTTCTACATCATTAGTATAGTTGAAGTCGACCTGATGGACCGGTATTTTTATCAGTTTAGTTTTACTTACATAAGCAGAGTCAGCAATAAAAAGAGGCTCATTATCTTTGTCTACAATTGTTTCTGAGGGGTAGGTTTCGTCTGAGGTTGTCTCATTGACGGTGGAATTTGTTTCCATAGCCGAGACTGAGTTTTGCTCTGGCACTGACTTAGGATCAGGGGTCTGTGGAGGTCAGCCGTCTGTGGAGCTGGATCCACAGGTGGTACTGATTTATTCAAAGCTTTAAGTTCCGCGTCCGACAGTGGGACCCGTTTCATGAGGCAAGTCGCTTTTTTAGGTTTAAAACCTTTATTTTTTAAGTGGTCAAGAATATCTTGCTCTTTGATTGAAGGGTGAAGCCCTCTTACAATAACTTTAATATCACGCAGATTTTTATTGCAGTGAGTGTAGTACTGCACTTTATTATTAGCCTCATGTGTTTCTCTGAGGGATTCTAAAATTATTTTCGCTGTAGCGTCGTCTTTCGGATTTAGTTGCCAGACTTCATTATTAATAATTTTAGTTCTGACATCTTCCTTTTGAACTGATTTTTTTGTAATTATTTCTACAAGATTGACATAATTGTTTACACCTATAACTTTAATGGGAGGGGGGGGTAAAATTTTCTTAACACTAGATGCATTTGATACACTAGGATTGGGTACATTTACTTTAACTGGAGCGCTCTCACCCGGTTTGGTTTGTTAATTATCGGTATGGCTACTTGAAGATTTCAGATTTTCAGATTTCATTTATTAATAAAAGAAAAAACATAATACAAATTAAGTTAAGGCCACTACAAATAAAATTGCCAAGAGGTCTAGCCTCATGCGGCAAAAGTAGTAAAACATAAACTAATTATAACAGAAACAAAAGAAATCATAGACGATTGGCACCACTGCCTACTTAGCTCAGTCTTCTATGAACTTAGTTCAACTTAGTGACAATATGAGTAGGTAAAATACAGAAGAGAAGAAAAAGAAAGAACACAATAAAATTTAAGACCCTAATACCTGATTCAGACATGAAGGCATTGAAGCTGAAGTACTCGCTCTCTTACGCTTCCATCTTTGAGATTGGATAGCTTTCCATTTGGAGTTAAATTCGGGATCCGAGTTGTAGTCGACCCATGTATCAGAAGATTCAGAATCATCAGCATTGTGATTCGATTCCACGTCATCTTCCAGAGAGGCAAATTGGTTAGAAACAGGTGCTGTAGATGTACCTGGTTTTGGTGTAACTGGTTTCCCAGTGGCAAACTGTGGTAATTTAGATTGCCCTGAGGGCTTACGAGAGTTATTTTTAACTAACTCTTTCACAGATTGTAGATGAGCATCTCTAGATCGAGAGCTTGCATTTGCAGAGCTAATCGCATTTTCTGCTTCAAGGGAATTGATTCTATTCTCCAGTTCATTGTTGTCACTGGAACTCACCAATATGAAAACTAGCTCTCACACCTAACAGGAAATCTTCTGTTCAGGGGTACTGATCAATAAAAGCCTAGGTCAACCGTGAAATCATCAAGTTTATCACATATATTTAAAATGGATGTAGATAGAGGAAAAGTAAAGTGGCCAATTTGCAAGAATCACTGCTGACATGAGAAAAATCTGAAGCTGTGGTGTAGGGATGGACGAATATGGAATTCGAATGCGAATATTCAAAACTTTTCGAATGCGAATATTCGAAACTTTTCGAATGCAAATACCTATTCGAAACTTTTCGAACGCGAATGTTTGAGAATTCGAATCTTGCGATTGAGAATAGTTCGGATGCTAATATTCGAATATTTTCGATAATTGCTTCGATTTTTTATTTTTTATGATCCGTGAGAGATAAAATGACACTTTTGAATGCGATTATTCGAATTTGCGATTTCGAATACTTCGGAAGCGAATATACGAATGTGATGCGATTATCTCGGTGCCAATGATTCGAATATCGAATATTCGAATATCTAAATATTCGACCATCCCTACTGTAGTGTCAGGTACATGAATGGCACCAAGGTAATATTAGAGTACCTATATAGCGAGAGTATGGACAGATCGCTTCATGGAGGGCTTAGGGCCCAAAAGTGCAGCCACCCTTCTAACCAACTTCTAACGCACAAAATTTCACTGCCAGTCTGCAGGTTCCAATTCTAACCAAGATGGCCAAGAATGTCCATATATGAGCGTTCTTCCGCAAAATTGAGTAAATTTATGCAAAAACTGAGTCAAACACGTGCTTAATAAACGACGGTTCGTAACAATAGTATTAGTAAATCGTTCTGGATAATTGAAATTCATAGGTTGGCTGCATTTCTGGGCCCTAACTTTATTCGCAGAAGCATCGGTGAAGGCCTGATGGATTTTCGGAGTTTCACATCTGTCCATACTCTCGCTATACAGGTACTCTAGGTAATATTCTACAGCTGGGGCAACAGCTCTTTCCAATCAAAGGCTACCTCCATCTTCTAACAGTCCAGATTCTGGAGAGCCCCTCTTCAGATGAGGATACAGAGAATATATATTGGTGCATAGCTCATCTAGGTACTGTAAATTGAAGTAAGGATCGAAGTTGTGTCATGTCAGTGAATACCTAAAATGATACACCAAATGATACATGATACTATGAAGACAATAAGATGTAGAATAAAGGATGAATCTGGAGTCAAAAACTGTAATTTATGATGGTTGTTGGAAAGTTGAATTTTGAAATCATTACTTAATGGAATTGTTAGACACATGCCTACCTCAAATTCCGTAGATCCTCCTTCGTGTACTTCTCGAAACCTGTGACAGCAATCAAATTTACTATCACTAAACTTATTAGTTTAGCAGCGTTATTCATCGTATGAGCTCAGAATCTGTCTTAGTGTTGACGCAACTTGCCTCGAAACTAACCAAACTAACAAACATGTCTATGTCATTATAACTAGCAACTCGCTGCATGTGAGTAATTTATCTTATCAGACTGATAAAGGATTAGATTAGATGAGGCGTTAGGCCGTAACTAGTCAGTTCTGTGACGTCAAGCTAGTAGATATTTACCGAAAACAACCATAGAGTACATAGAGTCGTAATGTAAATGGGAGAGCTGGCGCCATGTTCTGCTCGACGAATTCCGAGCCCGGTGTGCGCCGAGTTCGGGTCGCTTTTTCGATACATTTTCGATCCAAAATGGCGGTGTGGAATACATGGTAATTCCTATCTCCGTTGTTGTTGTTGTTGTTGTTGTTGTCATCGGATGACCGGGTACCCGTGTGTCGCAAACAATCGATTATGTATCGAAAAAGTGACCCGGCGTCACACAGGAGTCTCGGAATTCGGGACATGGAAAATGCTTAAAAGTGGCGCCAGCTCTCCCAATTACATTACGACTCTATGTACTCTATAGTCAGAGAGCCAGACGACTTTGAGTGACAAACTCGGGATACATGTTTTGACCCCCTAAATCGATAGTCTTGCATGCACTGAAACGGAAAATTTTTGTCTGCCGCCCTCTAGCCTGTGCCATCCAGAGATGGAAAATTTCATGAAATTTATTCGAGTGAAATTTCACGCGTGAAATTTCATGAAATTTCATGAAATTTCACGAAATTTCATGAAATTTATTGAAACTTTTGAGGATACATTCAAGAGGCCAAGAAACGCCTAGAAACGGTGATTCTCGATATTGAGATTTTTCAGCCCCCCCTGACCTAACCTAACCTCACCACCCACTCTTCCAGCAGCTCAGTTTTTTATCACGAAGATTTCGGTGTCATGTCAGATGTCACTTATGTAAGTCATGGGTCCTTAATTTTCGTAAGTAATGCATCATTGACACTTGAGTGCCTCCGCTCCACCA